ATTATTCACATTCCGGGCGCGAACCCGGCCTCGCGCAGAACGTTCGGGCGCCAGCGGGCCATCACTTATAGCTTGATGTACACTAGTGATTCCTGCCAAGGGCCTGCCGAGCGCTGGCTGCAGTCGGGTTAACTTTTGTATTAACATCGTCAATGTGAATATTCACATTGTCATGGGACGAGCGAGCCCGCCCTCGGGCCTCCACGGGCCGTAGAGTCTTCGGGCGCCACGTGAGGCGTAAGGGCAATTTAGCACACTCCTATTAATGTGCATGTTAACATGCAATGTGAATTTCAAACATGTGCGACGGGTCGGGAAGCCCGCCCCGGGCGCTGAGGTCGGGCTTCGGGCACTGCCCACGGGCATGACGGGCATTTACACTCTTATCAATGTGAATGATTAACATGTCAATGTGAATATTCACAATTGTCACGTGGCTCGGGTCGCGGGCCCCGCCTCCGGGCCGCGCGCAGGGCGTAGCGTTTTGGGTCAGCCATAGGGCCGCGGCTAATTTGGTAACTTTATCAATGTGCATTTCACTGTCATGATGAATATTCACATTCGTCACGGGCCGCTGTTAGCCTTTGGGGCGTGCAAGGGGCCTTGGGGGGCGGCGCGGGCGGGTTTCACGCCGCCACAGGGAACGGGAGCCAATTTTACCTCCTATTAATTGTGAATGTTAACATGTCAAATGTGAATATTCACATTGTCAACGCGGCCGGGCCGGCCACGAGTCGGGCCTGCCCTGGGCTGCTGGTCTAGTTTTATACTCTTATCAATGTGATGTTTAATATGTCATATGTGAACATTCACATTGTTCAACAGGCCGGGCCGGGTCCGGGCCCACCCACGGCCGTCGGGCGGGTTTCGGGCAGCTTACGAGGCGCGGGCTAATTTTACACTCCTATCACTGTGAAATGTTAACTGGTCATGTGAATATTCACATTGTCACGGGTACCGGCGAGCCCTGCCCTGGGCTGCGGGCGGGGCTTTTGGCCGCCCATGGGCGCGGCCAATTTTATCTTCGTATCAATGTGCATGTTAACATGTCAATCGTGAATATTCACGATTTGTCAACGGGCGGACCGGGCCCGCCCCGGCGCCACCCCATTGGCCGCGGCGGCGGGTTTTCGCGCCGCACGGGACAGGGAGCCATATTTACCTCCTATTAATGTGGAATTTTTAACATGTCAATAGTGAATATTCACATTTGTCACGGGCCGGGCCCG